TTGAGCTTATGCTCCATCACTTCTGGGTGTATGCCTGGCATATCACTTGCCGAGAAGGCGAATACATCCGCATTTTCTCTCAACAAGCTGATCAGACTGCACCTCATTTCAACGTCCATATCAGCCCCCACCTTAACTGTCTGACTTGAATTTCCTGGTCGGAGCTCTACTTGCACTGTTTCACCTCCTGGCGATGGTCTCGGCATAGTTTCTGGCCTAGAATCAAAATTTTCCATCGACAAATCTCGCACTGTTGGTTCTCTTGCCCGGTTAGGGTTGTTTGGTACTTCTTCTTTCTGCCCCGGATTTTTTAACGCCGTGACATAGCATGACTTTGCCATCACCTGTCCCCCATGTACCTTTTCCACAACCCCTCTATTTGACATATAAGAAATAGTTAAATGATAAGTTGATACTACTGCCTGTATGTCATGAATTATCGGCCTTCCCACAATTGCATTATACGCCGACGGTACATCCACTACTAAAAATTCAGCCATCGCATCTCTTGCTGTTGTACCGTCTCCGAGCCTAATAGGGAGAACTATACTTCCTTCTGGCCTCACTGTTGAACCGTTAAACCCAATCACCGGATATGATACCGGCGTTAAATATTGTCGGCCTATCATCAACTCATTGAAGGCTTGCATAAACAGAACATTTGTTGAGCTTCCTCCATCAACTAGAACCCTTTTCACATCGGCCCCATTAATCTTTGCTATTAATACAAGGGGATCATCATGAGGAAACACTATTCCTTTTGCATCTTCTTTGGTGAAGGTTACATTCGGAATTTCAGACGGCTGTGGGCGATCAGCAACATCTAATGCATTAACAATGTGCCGATACTCCGACAGGTGCTTCCGTGCTCCACTTATGGTTCCTCCGTGAACTGGTCCACCAGTTATTACATCAACTCTTTTTCCAGTAGATGACGGTGGTTGTCCGCCTTCCCCCTGTCGGTTCACTTGACCTTGTCTTTCTGGCCGGTATTTTATCTGCTGGCGTTCTGGTTGCCTATATTGTTGTTGCTGACTTTCCCCAGATTGCAACCGATATTGCGTAAGGTGCCCCCTTCTTATTAATTCTTCGATATTATCCTTCAACTGCACACAGTCCTCAGTGTAATGCCCTACATCCCGGTGGAACATGCAATACTTCTTGGTATCCCTTCCTTTTGCTTTCATCGGCACAGGTCTCACCCATCCTTCTCGGTTCTGATTTATAGAATATATTGCAGCCCTTGGTGCATTTAGAGGCGTATACGAATTATATCGCATTGGTTCTTTGGTTCCTCTGACCTCTTGGCGGCTTCCTCCTCTTGCTGCCGTTGGGTTCCTTGACCTTACAACCCCTGAAGATCCCCCTTCCGACATAGGGTGAATTCTATCAGTAGAACTTATTCGGCTGCTTGTCTTCATTAATTCTTCACTCTTAATATAATTATGAGCTTTATTAAAAGCTGCGGCTAATGTTGGCTGATTTTTTCGAGTTAGGTATCTCTTGAATTCCGAATCATTCAGACCGTTCATTAGTGCCATGACTGCTATCTCCTGCTGCAATCTTGGAATTGTATTGGCTTCATTATTAAACCTCCTTATGTAATCCCTTAAAGATTCATTTTCTTTCTGAGTAACAGCCATTAACTCTCCAGAAGTTCTCTGCCGAACACTATTACTGACATACTGCCCTACGAACATTTCGGCTAACTGCTGGAAACTGTGAACTGCTCCATTTTCAAGATTATTAAACCAATCGGCTGCTGCTCCAACCAAAGTAGTGGGAAACACCTTACACCAAACGGCATCAGAGTTGGTGTATAAAATCATGTGACCCTCATACGAGGTTATGTATCTTCCTGGATCTTCCCTACCATCATACCGACATGTCGGCATTTTGATTTTCTCCATTGGTTGATCAAGGATGCTTTGTGCAAATGGTGATGCCCTCAACTGAACTACTCTTCGCCCCGCTCCTTGCTGGTAAGTTCCCGTACTCTCGTCCTGAGCTGAGGATCGAACCTCTGATTCCCTAGGGGTTTGCTGGGATCTTGTCGGCGACCCATCATTCCGGCGTCTTTGCGAACTTCCAGCCCTGGTCAAATTGATTTCCATGAGCTGTAAAAGGCATCCCTCCTCCATCTTGGGTTGCCCCTATTTCTTTTCTTTTTCTGCTCATAGCTGTCATTACCCTTGCAGCTGTTGCCAACTCTTCTGATGTAAACCCTGCCATAGGGTCTATATCTGTCCTAGCCTGCCTTTCAGGGGTTAACGGCATATGAAATTCATTACCCCCCAATGTATGAGTCTCATCCTCGATCTGAATTTCTGGATCAGGCATATTTTATATTATTTTATATATATATATATATATATATATATATATATATATATATATATATATATTTTATCGGAAAGTATAAGGCTCTTTCAGGTGATAGAAGCTATTAAGTAGCTCCCCTCCTTCTAGCGCCAACTGTTTCTGCAGAAATCCGATAACCCGAATTCAGGATCCGAAGCTCGAGTATATAACCCGTTCTACTCCTATCGGCCAAATAAGAACCTACACAAAGAGAAGAGATGAGCTAGCCCCGGGGTGAATCCGGGGATAACCACTCCAAAGATTAAATCAGTAAGTTTTTATAGAAGAGAAGTGATTTAGAGAGAGAAAGTAGTGAAAGAGAGAGAGAGAAAGTATGATAAAATGCTGCCCTGTTTATGAAGTAAAATCGGATTATTTATATGTTTACTAGGTGACAGATGGCAGTCTAATAAGTAATGTAATTTCGGCCACGTATCAATTGTGAGCGCGACACGTGGCAGCTACCTATATGCTGATATGTCTACTTTATAGGAACGCCGATATTAACAAAGGCCATTTATGGATCGAATTCAAACAGTATGTCGGTATGTCCAACCATATCGGCCCATTATGATTTCCGTTATGTAGAAATTTCCCCATACAACTAATATCGGCCCATTATGATTTCCGTTATGTAGATATTTCCCCATACAACTAGCCCCCCAAGTGACAGGCCAATTGCGAAAGTTTCCTCCCCCACCGGAGAACCTCTTAGGTTCCACTACAAGGTACTACATTATGCAACTAAACGGAACTCTAAATCATATTATATATATATATATATGTACATGCTAATTTGGTGATGTATATATAGGTTGAATAATTGAATTAACGTGTGATAATATTCATGTATATGCAGATAGTTATACCATTAAGGAAGATCAAAAGATTGAATGAAAGCGAGAACATGAAAAAACCGTCACAAAAGTATCTACAAGTAGTGACCGCGGATGAGTTTGAGTTCTGGTTCATGGGATTCGTTAACTACAACAAAACATTGAAATGCTTACAACAAACAGTCTCACAAAGCTTGATTTGCTAGCAATACACTACAAGCCGGATTGCCGGAATCATACAACAAAACTTTAAAATGCTTACAACAAGCATCAGTCTCCCATCAAAGCTTAATATGTTAACTTGTAACTTAAATTTGATTGATTAACGAAGATTTATGTCTAGTTTTAGTGTACATATATAAGGCTATAATAGCTCTATAAATACTACTATATACTAACTAGTGTATGCACTTCTTTGTCTAGGATAGAAAGTAGCTGAGCTTGTACATAGATTTGTTAATTTGGGACCATCCGTTCCCATTCAAATTTTATTATACATAACTATTTAAATTTTAGGATACGTTGATTGCTAAGATTCAAATCTTAATTAGGTGAAATATATAATTACATTGATAAAAATTACGAATCACCTAGCTCATGTAGTAACGTTGTATACAGTATACTTGTATGTACTATGTAATAAATTTATTTTGCCTTCAACTATTGCAGTGAATTGGGAAACGTATAATAATCTCTTAGATCTTATTGTAGATACGTAAATTTTATATAAGTGTTACATTGGATATTGTCCATATTGGTACGAGTCAAAAGTCAACATACTGACTCGGGTTTACTTGACAATTAATTAAATTTAACGGCTATTTCACCAAATGCCCCTGAGTACTTTGAAAATTCACCAAATGTCATCCAACTTTTCAAAATTCACCAAATGCCACTCACAAACAGTATAATGACATGACGTGCCATTAATGAGGTTTGGACGTTAACAATCCGTTATTGCAAAACTTATTTCATGAAATGCCACTAAAGGGTTTATATATTTCACCAAATGCCATTACTTTATCAGGTTTTACACAAAACCCCTCTGTTTTAATGAGTTGCAACGGCTAGTTATTTTTGTAACATATTTTAATTTTTTTGGGGGAAAACTAGCCGTTGCAACCCTTTTTTGTATAAATTTGTCCCTAAGAACACACAAAGGCAGTCCTTTGTTATCTAACCATGAGTTTGCTATCAAACACATCTTCCTCAATAAATGAGTGTGCATATGTTAGAGTTCTAAACAAATTTTGCAAGTGTGGTAAGAAATACGCAATTAGAAACTCGGAGTCAATATGTAATCCACAAAGGTTGTATTATAAGTGTGACTCATGTAATAGATTCAAATGGTGTAAAGCTCAAATGCACGAAGCAGGTCAACGTAGGGGAAGCTCATTTGTAAGGGATGACTCAGCACAAAGCAACTTGTATGAAGAAGTGAAACAATTGAAGAAGAAAATCAAGCAACAATAAAAAGTTTTGAATTGTATAATGAAATTAGGGGCACTGATGTGTGTTGTAATTGTGATTGTAATGTTGAAATGAAATGGATTAATGTAATTTGCAATGAAATTTAATAAAGAGGGAAATTTAATTATGTCCATACTATAAAATAGCTTCCTGTTTATACAAAAAAAGCTTCCTGTTCAAAACATAGCTAACTGTTGGCATAAGTTTCCCAAAAATATAACATGGACATGTCAAAATAAACAACACACCACACACTACAGTGATTATGTTCAAAAAATTACATTGAATGTTCAGGCTGCTGTGGGTGCATTAAGAAAGGGAGTTGCTGTCCATTCATGCTGCTGCTTTCTTTGATTTCTTCTTGGGATGAGAGGTGACCTTTGATGTGGTTGCTTCAGTTGTTGAGGTTTTTTTCCTAGATGCACAAGTCAACATGTTGTGCCCCAATTCACCACATAAGCTGCACTTAACTGTAGAGTGCCTCTTCCCTTTTCTAGCTTTATTTAGCCCTCTTTTTCTTTGCTTTTTTGGTCTTCCTGCAGATCTTTTTACCATTGGTGGTAATATCTCAGGAAGGTTGACTGATGGCCAATGACTTGGGTCAGGCATTGGGTGCATATGCTCTACGTAAGTAAGCTTGTATGCCTTCCCTTTGAAGCAAGGAGCTACAAAGTCTGTAGGTTGTAGCCTCTGGTGATATATAACCCTTAGCACATGTTTGCAAGGGATCCCTGAATGTTGCCACTTCCCACATCCACAAGTGCCTCTGGTTAGCTTTATGGGAAAATGCACATGTTGGTCTCTAACCTCAAATTCATCACCACCACAAGGGGTTGCATAGCAAAGCCTAGACTCATCTAATCTTGCTTGCAGAATCTTTGTGGCATACTCAGTTAGGTCCATATCCCCCTTGCCCATATCTTTGTCAAACCTTGAGCCAATCCTCTTCATTGCCCATTGCCTTATTGCTGCAATACAACATTGACACAACACTGTCAATACAAAGAATTCATTTGTGTTAAAGCTATTTTATGTGCTGTGTGGTTACCTTCAAGTAATCTCAGAACAGGGAGATCTCTGTAGGGTTGTGTGCATGAGTTGAATGATTCTACAAAATTTGTAGTGTTATGATCACAACACAATGCAGGATCAAACTTATGCCTAGACCAAACCTCAGTGCAGCTCTCTAGGTATTCAACGGCCTTAGGATTGTACTCATGTATTTTCTTCATTGCTTTGTTGAATACATACTCATTATATACATCTGCTGCAATCTAGAAAAGCTTATGGAAGGTTGAACCACTGAATCCTTTGGCCTTGCAGTTTGTGTACAAGTGCTGGCAACACACTCTTCTTGTTGCTCTGGGGAATGTTTCATGGATTGCTGTGTCAACACCCTGCATGCAAAGCTATTAGTTTATACCTAAGACAATATATCATCATTTAAAAAAAAAAAAAAACTTCTGAAAGGTGGCTTACCTTCATCCTGTCAGAGATGAAAGTCTAATCATCTCTACTGCAGCCTTCCTTGTCAAATAGGATTTTCAAGTTCCTTAGGAAATAACCCCAACTGTCAATGCTTTCAGTCCCAACCACCCCATAAGCTATGAGAAAAATCTCATTGTTCCCATCAATCCCAAGTGCAGTCAGCAAGATTCCCTTGAAATTCCCACTTAAGTGAGCTCCATGAATGCCAATTATGGGTCTGCAGCCCCTCAAGAATCCCCTACATTGGGCAGCAAATGAAAAAAAACAAGCCTTGAATCTTGGTGGCTGATTTGCAGTTGATTCACCCTAACTGACCAGAGCATAGCTCTCTGGGTTAGTCTCTTTTACCATTTCAGCATACTTAGGCAGTAGTGAGTATGCCTCTCCAAACCCCCCATGAATCCTCTCCTTACACATTGCCTTCACCTTGTAAAAGAGCCTCTTTTTAACTTCAATCCTGTACCTTTCCATACAAAGTCTTTGTAAAGACTTAACTGGGATGTCAGGATTTGCTTGAATGTCTGATTGCAGATGTCTACACAGGCACTCAGAAGTTACAACTGGGTTAAGCTCCAGCCTTCCACAACTTCTATGCTCCCCTGTTAAAGTTTTGATTGCCCAGCTCACCTTGTCTGTCATGGTGGAAGCATGGATTCTCCAGCTGCAACCATCTACTGCACACCTTTCTATATATCTTGTTTTGTCACTCTTCTCAACATAAACACCAAATCCTTCTTGTATGCATTAGTCTTTGAAAACTTCCATAAATGACTCCCTGTCCCCAAGGCTCTAATTTGATTGCTCCAAACTCCTGATGTGTCTAAATCTTTCCATTCTTGTAGGTCTTATCCATGGTTGAACTACCATCTAGATAATCCTCAAATTGCTTATCCTGAATGTCATCATATAGACAATCTATCTCTGTATCATCCTCTATGAAATCACCAATATCTGATTCAGAGTCATCTTCACTATCTGATTGCATATAATCATCATCTTCACTATCACTACTAGACTCAGCTGACCTCTGCTCACTCAACTTATCAGGTACTGTGTTTGTACCCTTATTTCTTTCTGATCTCCTCACAGTAACAGATTGCCCCTCAAAATTAACCTTTTTTGCTGCACTCTTCTTGGACCTAAATCCCTCAGGTCTTGATCTGCCTCCCTTTTTAGGTTTGGAACATTGAGCTGTTGTTGATTCTGGTTGTTGAGTTGAGGTGTTTGGTGGTATTGTTGCAGTTTGTGGTTCAGGTGAAACTGGTGGTGGACTTACATGAGGTTCAGGTGAAACTGGAGGTTGAGGTGGTTGTTGTGGTGGTGGGGTTGTTTCTGGTTGATTTGAAGCTGGGTGTTGAGGTGGTGGTGTTGTTTGTGGTTGGGTAGAGGATTGACTGGTTGTTTTTTTGGGGGTTGTTTTCCTTGCCCTTTTTTTGGGGTTGTTTTCCTTGCCCTTTTTTTTGGTGTTGTTTTGGGCTGGTTCAGAGGTGAAGCTGGGTGGGAGTGTTTAGGTGGAGTTGAGGGTTGAGTACTTTCTTCAGCCACAGGCTGAGATGGCCCAGGGAATACTTCATCAGCAACTGGAGTGTCAAACACTCTTATATACTCAAAATCACCATCATCAAGATTAGACATAGGAACCTCAACTGCAACCTTAAAGGCTTCCTGTTCCTTCAACTCTCTCTCAGCCTGGGCCTTCTCCTGTTCCAATCTAGCCTTCTCAGCCATGGCCTTTACCCTTTTATCCCAATTAGCCTTTGCATCCTTAAACACCTTCCCATGACTTTCTTTCTCCTCTAACAAAATTACTACTGTTTCCTTACCTTGAAACCAATCCCACATTCTCAACATGTCCCTATCCCCACACAACTCCAATTTCCTATTAGTCCTAGGTGGCATTACATAAAAACTAAAGTATTTAGGAAGGATCACATTTTTCTTAACAGAGTCCTCAAACATGAACTCATACAAGTCCATTAGACTAGTTCTGTCAGTATCATCAACCAGGACATCAAACTCCTGATCTCTGTAATGGACATCAAGCCAAACTCTACTCATCCTATCAACAACAAATTACAGACATATTAATTCACTAAACAACAACACATAAGATTCATATGAACACACCACACAGCATAACAGACCAAATCATTACCAACAATGCCACTACAAAAATCGCAAAAAATGTAACTCAAATACTTCACATTCAAAAACCATAACAATACCAAATCAATACACAACAACTAACATTTTTAACTTGAAATTTAAGATTATTTCACACAGTCAAGTCAAGTCATCACATTTAACAAGAACATTGCAAAAAACCCTAACCCTAACTCAATTCTCGCAAAAAATGTTAGATTCAAAACGCGAAAGCAAGATCGAAAGTGAGAATATTACCTTGTTTGCTATCTCCAACACCCCAAAGTCGAATTCATCAAGTGCTTTAAGCTTCAACTTCCTCCCCTACTTATCAGCGCTGTTTTGGTTCGCCCAACTTCAACAGGAAAAAAAAAAGCTTCAATTTTTGGGAATGTCTGGTACAGGTGTTGAAGAAAGCTTCTTGATTGATTATGGATTTAGGATTTGAATAAGGGTGAACGCTCGAAGAACAGAGAAGAAGAATGAGATGACTTTTGGGTTTTTTTTTTTTTTTATCTAACTTGAACAAGTCAGAGAGTCAATGAGGTTCAACGCGCCATTAAGTCTAACAAAGGGCATACTCGTCATTTCGCAATAACGGACTGTTAACGTCCAAACCTCATTAATGGCACGTCATGTCATTATACTGTTTGTGAGTGACATTTGGTGAATTTTGAAAAGTTGGATGGCATTTGGTGAATTTCCAAAGTGCTCAGTGGCATTTGGTGAAATAGCCGTAAATTTAATTATTTTGGGTGAAATAAGTTAAATTAACCTTAGTTATTTTCATTAAATAGCTCATTTAATAGCAAAAACCTACTAAAATGGGCTAAGCTACATATATGAGTCAAGATTACCAAGTTCGAAGCCCAACTCCATTGTACATCAAACCCAAACCCTAACCCTAAGAGTCACTCTCTCTACAATTAAAGCTCTCTAACAACATTTGGAGGAGAGAGACAAAAAACCTAGTGGAAAACAAAGAGAATCAAAATACAGAGAAATCCTCTCAAATGTTAAAAACCTCTCTAGAGTAAACCTCTCATCAAATACTCTAAAATTCTCTAAAGAACAACAAACATTCGACGTGTCATTCTACTCTAAATGATCACCCATGGAAGAGATCAAGCCTCGACGGCCCTCAACACAAAAAAAAGAAGGAATTCAAATAATCAAGAACACCCGTACGTTCAACCTCTACATCAAATAGTCATTGATCGAGATCAAGCCTCATCGACGTTAATCAAGAATTCAAGTCAAAGGTCTACATCAATAACAAGTCAAAGGTCGATCTACATCAACATAATTCAAAGTTTTGCATCAAATTTTAGATTAAGATCAAGCTTCGTCGGCCCTCGTTCAAGAATCAAGTCAATTTGTGAATTACGTCAAAGTCAAAGTGGAGATCGAATCAGAGGATCAAATTAGAGATTATTGTACCCAAACTTCTCAAATTAATAAAATTAACACTTTGCCGCATTTGTTTTGAATCTATATTTACAGATTTAAAATTTGTGTTTACAAGTTTGGCACGCTCGGTGGGACAATTTTTACCTTTCATCTCATTCTGCATAAATTGAAATGAAGAAGCACGTAGAAGAAATGATGATAAAGACAGTGCACAAGACGACGTCGTTAATGCATGTCATGGAAATCGAAGCAAACACTGTCAAGGAGGAGTTAGCAAATATGAGGCTACTTCTTGAAAATTTTTTCAAGGACAACAGAGAAAAAGGGGCACAAAATAAGCTCTAAAGCAAAAAAATTGCTGCACTCAAAAGAAAACTCGAGAAACACCCAATCGAAGAAAGTGAAGATGATAGCAGCGGGTCGAAGCTTAGCACAAAGACAAAGCTTAGTTCGAAAAGTGAATAACCCCATGGTGATTCATTCAGCTTTCAAGAAATCCAAGAGATGATATCTAGATCAATGCTATATATTAAACAACAACTTGGTACGTAGAGATGTCAACAAAGATGATTGCTACAGCAAATCTTGTACCAAGAGGATTGATAAGATGAGAATGACAAGCGGTTATCAACCTCCAAAATTATATTCCAGCAATTCGATGGGGCAGGAAACCCCAAGAAATATATTGCACACTTCATAAAGACATGCAATAAGCCAATAATGCTAAGACCTTTGAAGATTTGCTTGTCAAGCAAATTGTTCAGTCTCTCAAGAGTGTTGCGTTTGATTGGTACACAGATATACCTCGAAAATCCATCAATAATTTGGAGCAAATGGAAGAAATGTTCCTCGATTGCTTCTTCAATACACGTCACATTGTCATCATGAATGAGTTGACACAAACAAAACAGTCGAAGGATGATCCAGTCGTGGACTACACAAACTGATGGACATGATTAAGTCTTCAATGCAAAGATCCCTTGTCCAAAACTTCTGCGGTCGAGATGTGCATCCAAGGCATGCATTGGGATAGCTTACATCTTGCAGGAAATCAAACCCAAAACATTCCAAGACTTGGCGACTCGAGCTCATGAGATGGAGTTTACGATAGCCAATTGTGAAGACGGATCTGATTAGATGATCATCAAGGAAAAGATGAAAAAACGCTCCTCGAAACTCTTAAGCAAGAGCCTAAACTGCATAACAAAAAAAAGATGAAAAAAAATCACACATTGAACTACATTTGGATTGGTCAAAAAAGTAAATTTTAGTTAGTTATTTGTACGTAGGAATCTTGGATACATAAAAATTTATTCAAGGGCAGCCATAAAAAATTTTGCACGAAATTCATTGGAAGATTCAGAGAAAGCTGCAAGCACTGGAGATTCGTAAATTGTCGAACGTGGACATTGAAGAAAGCTTCCAAGCACTAGCGATCCACCAAA